GCAATCAGCATGGAATAAATCACACGCTCAATTCACCACGACATCCGCAGGCTAACGGTCAAGTAGAACGCGTGAACCGTACGCTTCTACCACTGCTAAGAAATTGCAGCGAAGATAACAAATGGGATAAGGAACTAAAATCCACGGAACGAGATTTAAACACCGCAGTTAACAAGACTACAGGAAAAACGCCCTTTGAGGTAGTGTTTGGGTACGCACCAAGATTAAACGATGGTGTAACACGTTGCCTCACCGTCAACGAGGAAACGTACGAGTCCCCTAGCGATTTACAAAGAAAAGTCAGAACTCGACTGGAAAAGGAAAAGCAAAATTACAAGCGCCAGTTCGACGCCAAAAGATTATTAAATGTCCACTATGACATAGGCGATATTGTATTTATGAAGACAAATAGTGTTGCAACGGGTGACTCTACTAAACTGCAACCCCGTTACAGAGGACCGCTCAAGGTGTATGAAGTGCTCCCCAATGACACATACCGCGTAATCAATCTGAACGAAGAGGAGCCTGGGAAGCTGTACGCGACAACAGCACACGTCAGCCAGCTCAAAATCTGGCGACCCAATCAAGCTGACGACGTTGCAGGAGAAGAAGTTCCGGCAAGTGGAAACATATGACAGCAAATTATGCTTAGAAATTGCAAGAAAATGAACTTTATTCACTTGTGCGACGTAGCTTGCTTATAAATTTCAACATTTATAACAACTCACATTTTGCAAGAGTCGTACTAACGCTGTGCCAACATTACTACCGCGCTAATATTTTCCCATCACGCGATTATGGCTGAAACAGCGTCCGGCCAATGGAAAACTAGTTATGTTTCCGCTCACGTTCGCATTCACGTCCACCAAAGCAACAAGCTAAGATGGTGACTTGTGTCCTGCGACTTGTGTTCATAAGAACCCCCGAGTGACCCGAGACTGCGGACTCTTTGTCCCTAGCACGTACTTGCAGGATAATGTAAACTAACAATGTGGGTGCGAAGAAAACAAGTCACAGAATAAAAAATACGAATAAATTATTAATAAAAATGAGTAAAAACACGAAAAATATGAATTTTATAAATAATTCAGAATTAATTATGGTATAGACGAAGTTCTGTTTGTGTTTTAGTTGCAACACAAATGTAGAACTAAAAATTGGCATAGATAATTAATTATAAAACAAAGTTTTGAAGGTTTCTACCAAACTTTTGAGAAATGATCACAAAACACCCAAATTATTAACTACAGCGTGGAACATAAAATTATTGTTATTATACTCGTAACAATACAAATAATTTTCTGTCGTCAAATTCAATTCTAATCTTTTTATTTTAATAAAACAATGCTTACCACATAATAAAAGTTTGGTTAATGTGACATAGTACAATGCGCTTGCGCAGTCCCAACTAAAATTAACCTTTAACTCCCTGACGCATTTGATTAACAACTGTTTAATCACAGTTGCAGTTCTATATAAACACCTTGAATACCTGTGGGAAGTTAATTTCCCGCTACGCGTAACTTCCTTGATTTTCCAGCTAAAACAATCCCCCGAGTAGTTCAACAAGTGCGCCGACATTGATCTGCATCACATCCATCTATGTTATGAATTTGTGTCACGCCGATATTGCGAAGGCTTTACGCTGGCTTCACTGTGCTTATCAACTTTCGGTTTGTTGTGGGAGTCGCCTGTTGCTGCTCACGAGGGAATAGTTTCAAAATTTCCACGAATGGTCGTATTCATGTGAAAAGCTGCCAATATTCAAGGATTTTCTCTGCGCGTGCATTTCGATGGTGTTTGAACAAAGTTTAAACAATAATAAAACCAACACTTTTAAAAAGCTTTAACGGATTAAAAATGTAGAATTGCTGTATTCTATAAGAGAATATTTTTATATGCAACCATTCGTACATTCACATTTATAACCTCAAACGTATTTTACTACTGATTCCAGATATTCTATCAAAACATTCAACATTAATTGTTGTTTTATACTTTTAGTTTAGTTTAAAACTATTATTTTAACGTTTCCAAAGTTCAATACAAAGCTGTAATATTCTGTAATAGTATTATTCTAACCTCAATTACTTAATTAAAACCATTTTATGTTCAATATTTTAGTACTTATGAAGTTACCAGAAGAATATGATGTCATTTTGTGAATGGCACTTGATTGTACCTACTTGGCGTACTTGTGCTGGTCGCAGGATAGCTTCACTATAAATATCAAACAATAGCGCCGGCGACCGTTACGGCAATAACTCCTTTTTGCGCCCGCTTTTCATTCTGCTTACGTCCGCACAATGTCAGCCATTTCATTTCTACGCCGCGCACTTTCATTTGTTCTTTTTGGCGAGTTATCCGCAAACGTAATCCGTATTTATTGTTTATCGCATTATATTTTCTTCAACTCATCTTTACATAATATTGTTTTAAACAAAATCAAAATTCATGTTATCACCTTATAGCCAGGTGACATTACATCGAGAAACAACAAAAAATAAGGCATATTTAATCTTTTGGCAAGCTGATTATAAACTCAATTACTCTAGTAAAAATGCCGGTAAATATTTCCTGAAGTCTAAGTATGAATTCAAGTCGCGATGTTGTATTCACTTGTGTATTATGTTTGAATGATTTTGTAGTAACATGATGTGCCCTTCAACAAATTAGCTGAAAAATCATGCTTATGTTCTAGAAATTTGCATTGCAATTTGTAGACATGTTGGGATCATAATTACAACAATATTTCAAATGTCAAATCAATGTCAAATCGGTGTCATGTCGACAAAATAGATATTGAAGGTCATAATTGCTACGATGGGAAATTAATATACAGCTTAAAAGGCAAACCATTCAAGTTGTGCATATATAACCTTTAAATTTGAGGTTAATTCAGGATTCTACATCTAAAAAATGTTGAAAAAGACAATTTGTGCATATATAACCTAGCATAACCTATAATAACTTTAACTAACCTAACTTTACGACGCAATTAATCAAAATAAATCCATCACAAATAAAAAGCTTCTTGTTTCATGTGTGATTTTATATGGAATTCGTACTTGTTGGACGTTCAACAGGCTGCCGGCAGCGAAAAGACGAAGGGCGGCGCGCAACAGGCGCGTAATTATATCCACGCACATTCATAAATTAATAGAACGCGCTGCTTATCTGCTCGGCGCGAACGCGTGACACATTAGACTGCTTATTATCGCTGCTCATTAACTTAGAGGGTTAATTATTTATGTAACATGCGAAACATCCCTACTACTCAACTTTTCATACTGATTGTAACTAATAAACAACAACAACTTCTTACTTTCAAACTTAAAACTATTGCATTACAAATAAATTAAATTATTATCTCTTTTACTTAACTTTTTCATAATTTTTCTTACATATTACTCTGTATAATTTTTAATTTTTATAAGAATACGCAAAATACGTTGCGTTGTTATCTTTATTTTCTCGTCTGCATGTTATAAGATGTTATCTCTTTTCGTTTGTCGTCTGTTTCATTTTCACTGTACCTAATTAGGAACAGTCGGCGCAGCAAGGGCAGCGTCGGTGACATGATACTTTTGCGACGACATCTGATCGTTTAATTATCGCGAACTAAGCAGGCGAATTTCATTATTTCATAGTGTGAACGAACAGGGTAGAGTAAAGTACAGTACAGTAATGCGTGGTTGTGGATGCGGACAGCGACTGATATTTAGTTGATGATTTATGGAACTCGTTTAGTATCTTCAAGGAAGTTTTTCACTTCAAAAGTATTAAAAAAAGTATCCTACACTTACTAAGTCTTATTCAAACAAACACATCAACCGGGCACCTTCAACGAACACGTACAAACACACGCACGTCTAGCTTAGGGGGAAGCTACGAATCGCACAAAGAGGAGACAGAAATAATAGAAAACATTATATTTGTGTGCTCTTTTTCTCCCGTAGGCTAAACCATATAAGCGAATATGTTTGTTTCCTTTTAGTGTCGTTTAGTGTTCTCTAAAGGAGTTTTCACTTCAAAAAGTATCCTAGTAACCTTCTCCAAACAAAAACATCAACGAGAACGCAAATACAAAGTTTTCTATTATGCCAGTCTCCTCCAGTTTCCCCCTAAGCATAGACGTGTGTATAAAAAGCGGGAAGCACAGATTTTCCTCTCGCCTGTCTTCGAAGAGATTGAAGTGGTCACACCAGCGGATGTACTTCGACGTGGTGGCGTAAGTATCATATTCATAGCTGACAATTGAAGTTATAATAATTTTCCTGCATTATTTCTTAGGTTGAATTCACAATCACTGGGTTAGAAGGCAAGAAAGCTATGCACGGCTTGAACTGTGTGAAGATCAAACCGGATAAAGATTTAGACGACATTTGTGACGATTTTGATGCTCTAATTCTCACCGGAGATGACAAAGCCAGTAATGCGGTTGCAAGCGTGTTGAAAAATTGCTGAAGACACAAGAAAAGGAATGTAAAATGATTGCAGCGATTTGCAGCGCGCCGACCGTACTCATGAACTTTGGTATTGCCAAGAAGAAGTGCTTCACCTCTCATTCGGACCACGAAGAAAAGATTCGGAAATGCGACGACTATAAATATAAATGCGCCGATGTAGTCGTTGATGATTTCCTGATCACTGCCAAAGGAGAAGCGCAAGCCTTGCAATGGGCGCTTACTATCTTGATGCATCTTACTGATAAGCGAAATGCCTGTTGTATTGCTAAAACAATGCTCGTTAAATAAAACCATCTATGCCTAGCTAAATATAACCTGTTTTTGAAGTTTTGATTACTAACTACTAAGGACACACTGTGTTTTACATTTATATTTTAGTTCATGTAGCTCTTAATGGTGGCAGCACCAGATTCTATTAATCATAAGATCAATTCAAATGTAAATATTTATAAATTGGAACAATTATATTTTATACAACAAATAAATTTCGAATTATCTATATAACATAGTATTCTATTCTGTGCAACTGCAATGGCTAAATCTGCTGAGGTTGGGGAGATGCTTAGAGAGCAAGAAAAGAAGTTTAAAATTATCGCTGCCATTAGTGCTCCAACTGTACTAAAGGCGCATGGTGTTGGAAAAGGCAAAAATGTCACTTCATATCCAGCCATGGAGAAAGAAATGTCTGAGTGTGGAGATTATAAATATAAAAATGATGATGTAGTTGTGGATGAATATTTAATTACAAGTCGTGGACCTGGTACATCATTTAAATTTGCTTTCACTGTTTTGAAGCAGTTAACAGATGATATGAAGGCATCTGAAATTGCAAAACGCACGCTGTGCTTGTAAAAAATTAAATAAAAATAAAAAACAAAGGAGGAAATAAATCAATATTATAACTTGTATACCTAATTGCAATTTTGAAAACATTTTTTGAATGTCTAGTGTCAAATTGTTACGCGCGCATTGGTAAACCACCTGTGAATTTTTGGGGCGAAAAATAGTTATTTTTTTACATCATCAGGATTCGTATACACATTGTGTTTCTTTGTGCTGACAATCATTGTATATACTAAAAAGTACCTGAAACAACTTTCTGATATATCAGCCATTTGTTACATTCATTCCCGCAAGTAATTTTAACATATTCTTTTCGTAATCATAATAGTTTTAAAATTATAGGTTAACCGTTACATGTATTCAGTTCAACTTTTGGCGTTTTTAAAGTCTTATACTCTGTTTTAAACATGTCACTATGATATAAATAGTTTATTAACAATAAAAAGTGGTTATTAAACAATTGTGCATCATGAAGGATGTATCAGCCTCTGATGAGTTGGATGACAATGGAAACAAAACAGAAAGTGCCAGCAAAAAACTTAAACCTCTCAATACTGCAGAAATTACCGTGAATAATGTTGAGTTTAAAGTGGAAAACGCACCCAAGGCTCAAAAATGTCCAATTTGCAAGCATTATGATGATCAAGTTGTTTTATACAATGGACATCCAACCAACTCAGTTGCTGAGTACATTGCATTAACTGATGAGAAGTTAATGTTATTTACTGGAGATGAAGAGTGTATTGATCAGCAGGATGAACGGCCTAGTCATAAGGTAATACTTTTAATTAAAACAACTTAATACAAACAAAAAGTAATTTTTCTTTGTTTCAGATATCATTATTTAATATTGATGATAAACCAGGCCATTTGGTGCCAATTGACTCTGGTTTAATTGAACAGGATACCTTGTGGTATGTGTCTGGTTATGTCTGGTTATGTATTTTTGATGAAGATGAATCTGCTGACAGTGGCATACCACCACATGACATTGGTCCAATCAATGCATGGTTCATTTCAGGCTAAGATGGTGGTGAGAAAGCAATTGTATTCTTTTCCACACCATGAAACTTCTGAATGAAAAAATCAAACTAGTCAAGATTGTGATTGAATTCTTAATGGATGAATCATGGCAACAACCAACCTATGAAGATATTCTACAGAAACTTTACAGTTACAAAGACGAAGAGTGTCTGCCGCGTCATGCACTTTTTGTGTGTGATCAAATATTAAGCATTGATCAAGCTGCTGAGGATGGCGACACGCCACTCTTGACTTCGCCATGTATTCGCAGTCTCGTCAAGATGGCGGGTGTTACTTTTGCGAAACGCAAATGGAAAACTAAATTAGCTAAAAGCATGCCAAGAGGTGTTAAAAAGTCACCGCAGTGGTCAAAAGCAACCACAAAGAATATAGTCCAGGAAGTAATGGAGAGTTTCTTCACTGATCAGATTGCTAATAATAATGTTGAAAGATGAAAGGACAAAAGAAACGACTGTGTGGGATTTGCGAGGCTTGCCAACAGTCTGATTGTGGTGATTGTAATCATTGTCGCGATATGCTTAAGTTTGGCGGGACGGGGCGGTCGAAACAAGCGTGCAAATTGAGAAGATGTCCAAATATGGCAATTCAAGCAGCAGAAGATTCCGATAACGATGATGAGAACGACGATTCGGAAACAGTCATTGTGGACGCGGTGGAGATTCCTTGTTCGAAACGCATTGTTAACAAAGTTAAATGGATTGGGGATATTGCAAGTGAACAGGGTAACAGGACATAGTATACACATGCCGAAGTTGGTAAGTGCCTGTGCAAATCAAAAATCCCATACTTTTATATATTTTTGGCTTAAATGTGTTTATTTATAGGAAATGCTGAAATAAGAACATGGATTATGTAATTCTCAATCCAGCGATTCCAAAACACCCTCTATTGGTAGCTGAAGTAGTCTACATGTGGGATGATGTCGAAAAAGGTCCAATGTTTCACGCGCATTTTTTCATCCGCTGGTCGGACACTGTTTTGGGCGAAACCTCGGACCCCAGAGAGATTTTCATTCATGACAGTTGTGATAAATGTCCTTTGGGTACAAACGTTCGTAAAGCTGTCGTTGAAATACGTTTGCCATCCCTTGATTGGGCCATGAGTGGAGGTATTGATAATTTGCCACCTGTATTGTATATCCTGAATTTTATCGCAAGAACTACGAAAATATTAAAGGATCTAATACAGCCACAGGTTGTATCGCGTTAATAGAACAAGTCTTAGAGGAACACACCGCTAAAAGCCAATCCAATAAAAAACTCAAATTTATTACTTTCTTTTGCGAATACGTAATCCATTGTATATTTGAAATATTTATTTATAAACTTTACGTGAATATTGGATTTACAATTTTTATATGTTGAGTTATCATGGTTCGCCCAGAGGGCATCTTCATAAACTGACTTTGGTAGGTATGTTAGGGGTGTGACACACAAATCACCTAAGAGCCCCCGCAGACCCCAAATTTTTTATCGGCCGATAGTTTGATCGCGTTGGTCTGTTAGCGCGCACACTACGCCAACTAAACGGTTGGGTTTGTGGTGAGTGCGCAGACTAGACAACAGTCGGCCGACTATTTTCACTTTGTAAGCTACCGTTGAAGAGAGCGGTCGCATAATGAAAGTTACTAGTAGTAGAATATTGATAGTTTGCGGATAGTTTAGTTTGAATGCAGTTGAGTAGCCCATCAAACTTATTTATCGGCCGATACAAAATCGTTGTAGTATGCGGACTTGCATACATCTTCATACTGATTATAAGCCCGACCTAACTATCAGCCGATAAAAAGTTTGTGGCCTGCGTGGGCTCTTAATCCTTACGCGGGAAGTTTTGTTGCAATAAATTAGTGTTTTTTTATTTTTATTTTATTTACTAATTCGTTGGAAAGGTCTCGGGCTCAGCAAGGTTTATAGCAAAGAAAATTGAGGAAAAATTTCAACAGAAAAGCGCAAAAATTTTTAAATGAAAAATTTCAACAGAAAAGTGGAAAAATTTATAAAAATGAGCTGCATTTTCAGGCGTATGAATAAATAAAAATCTAAGCGCAAATAATTACTATGCGTATCGTATGATGATTCGTACACATGGGGAGAATATCATTCTGAAGTGCCGTCGGCTATTCCAGCAATTCGCTGTCGACATGTATGTCAAAGTTGAGACCGAACGTTTTGCGTTCATCCGATTCAATCAGGCAAAGCTACGATCTGAGGACTATATCCACTTGCGTGATGCAATTCATTCAGATGGTGATGTTCAGCAAAGTTTTTGAAATAAAAATCTTGGGAGAACCAAAGAATTTTCTCGGAATGAAAATTCACCGCAATAGAAGTAAATGTGAAATGTCTATAACACAGCCTGAGTACACAGAAAAAATTCTAGAACGGTTAAATTTGAAATTATGCAGTACTCATGATACACCTATGATAACTAGACAAGTCAAAAATAGAAATAAAATAACACAAGCATAGCCTACGGTTAATCCCGAAATAGAAGAAGAAGATAAGGTGGCATGTACTTTTTGGGTTTATGCTGGATTCTGGGGTAGATATGGATTGGGGTATCTTGAATTGGTTAAGACACCTCTGCACGCTCCGGTGGTGACTGATGGGTCCTACACCTTTGCGATCGGCTAGCAACCACCCAAGAAGGAATGCTTATATGTTCATAGTTTCCAATACGACTAGAGAAAATAAAAGAGAATTTGTTAATTATGTTGTAGCCTCAGTTCACTTTCTAGTTCAAGCTTTCTAAGTGCTGCTTGATTACTTCTGGATCTACTTGATCGGTCGATATTCTTAATTACAACGCGGAGTCCTTTATATGTTGGTAGGTGTAGCACTGTTTATTATTGACGTCAAACCATATGGGTACAACCATGTAATCGCTTTTGTCCAATGTTTGGAAGTTGTGTTTGGTTTTTAAAAATGTTTTCAGCAATTGTGCTAGCGGTTTATTATTTCTTTGTCAAATGAAAATTGATGATTACTTGGATTTTGGTACTGACTCGGTTATTGTTGTTCATCCATCTTCAATTATATCGTCTAATATTTTCTTGTCAAATTCTGGAAGTCTTCTATGATTCGAATATACTGTTTCCTCTTAGTTTAGAATAATCTTTATTTCAAAGAGTCGTTTCTATGTCGCTATCATCTTTTGTCTCAATCAGCACTGTTTCTTCTTGTTCCTTTACTTTGATTAGCAAAATTGCCAATGGATCGTCATCTAACGTGTCAAACATAATCCTTCCTTGTTTAAGCGCCATGTTTACGTTATTTAAGAATTCTCTCCATAAAGTCGTAGTATTATCATCTATCATCATCTTGAATGTGATATGATCACCATCTGTTCAGTCGTCAAACCTCCATATCATCTTAATATCTTTGTAGAGCCGTTTAGTTCCGTACTGCCTACCTTCTCATAAATAGATTACCCTAGTATCCCATTTCTTTCATCATAATCAAGTATTTTTGCACTGGGGAATCAATTATGTATGTATTTTGTGACTCATATTGGGCTAAAGCTTAATTTTCACCGCTCAACGCGTTTTTCAAAACAATTGTGCAATTCTTACGTCTTTGGCTTCTTTTTGATTTTTCTTCGATTTCAGGTTTGGCACGGCTACCCATACTTGTACGATCACAAAAATGAAACATTTTTTGTCTTCCTCATCGCCGACGTTTACGAGTATGTCATCTTCTCACACGCGATTGTAATGTACTCATACTCTATCTTGTCATTTAATCATATTTTATGTCACTTATTGTTTATTAGTATTTCGTCTAAAAACTTTCCGGCACAGGCTTGGAATGCGTGATTGATTTAACTATTGAACCGTCTTTGTGTTAGAACAGTATATATGTCGGATTCGAATACGAACAAGGACGCCATCTAGACATAAGACGAATCAGCATAATGGTGGTGCAGTTTATAATAGGGAAGAGAGGTGGAAAACAAGAGGAATTAATTTAGAGATATACCTAATTGTTAAAGCTTTTGGTTGTTTTTATAGAACGCACGGATAGGCAAGGATGATTTAATATGTTTTCTGTAACGGTTGGAAGTGTTCAGGCAAAAACTGACAAATCAAACGTATTGATATCACCTCGAAGTGTTATCATACGCATATGGTAAAACACCTGCAAGGAAACAGCTGCAACTACTTGCTTTGATTCCTAAATTTACCCAAGCCTGCAGCTGCATCATTCTTACAACGTTAGCAAGAATATTTCAAAGTCTTGGAAATATTTCGTTCTTGAATTCTTGTGCAAGTTACACGTGAATAAATTGTTAAATCAGCAAGAGTTTCGTTTATTGCATACCTCATCCGCCACAAAACTATTTTACCTTAACACAAGCTAAGCTACGCAGGTTTTGCCCCAACTTTGGTCCTTCAAACCGGATGAAGCGTATTTACAAGAGGAATCCGTCGAGGTTAGCCAACGTCAATTTCTACGAAATTTACCCAGTCTGCCAGCATCGTGTGCATCAACGCAGCTCGTCCACGATGACATCTACCACTAAAGAGTGAGTCAATTCATTTTATCCTTTTCGTTATACATTTTTCAATTGCCGATCTACTTGTATCAAAATGGCTAAAAGAGATAACTTAAAAACGCGTACAGCTCAAAAAACTCAAATTAAAGCCGCGCTTACTCGTGCAAATACATTCTACAATAATTGCAATTTAGAAGTAATTGACTTGACACAATTTTGCCATTACTTGACAAATTTAATGATATCATGGATAAAATTGAGTTGATGACGAAAACACAGATATGCACAACAATGAGCATGAGACTTTTGAATATTCATATTTTGATGTAATTGCAATTAAGTACAAAAGTCTGCTTAAGGACTCTGTATTAGGAGCAAGCTCAACGTCGAACATAACTCAATCCTCATAACTCATAACGTCAATATGACGCATGGACGTCATTCTCAGAGATTTTTCAATCGTTAATTCACAACCATTCTGACCTGAACAACGTCTACAAAATTCAATATTTGCGCTCTTGCCTAACTGGGGAAGCAGCAAATACTATTTCATCTCTTGCATCAACATCTGACAATTACGATATTGCCTGGAACTTATTAATTGAAAGGATCCAAAGCAAAAGATTAATTGTTCACAAGTTATTGCAAGCAATATCGGACATGCCTTTAGACACGCGTCAATGCGATACCTTCTCGATACTGCGAAGGGCAACATGAGAACCCTTATGAACATTGTACCTGCAAAAGATATGTGGGATATTACGATGTGTTTCATTATTAAAAAAAAAATTGGTTTTAACACTAGAAGATTGGACTGGTAGCATTTTCCATATGCTATCAGCTCTACAAAGACTACCACAGAGGTCTAAGAAAGAGGTATCGCAACCAACTCAGCAATCCAATCTAAGCGAATCATGAAGCCATAAGACTGGGACCCGTACAAAACCAACGAGATAACGCAAGGCTGTAGTCGCGTAAATTTTATGTCACTTCATTTTCATTATTATCTTATTATTTCTTTTATTTTATTTTATTTTATTTTTATTTTATTATCTTTCATTCTATTTTACTTATATTAATGAGCCAAAACCATTATGTAAACGCACTTCTAATAACGCTACCACTCAGGCTAAATTCAGCGCCTGCACACAATGCAATAAAAACTATTTTAATTGCTTATATCCCCAATTCAATGATTTGCCATCAGCCGAAAGGCTTACGAAGGTCAAAGATCTACTATGTGCACGAATTGTTTGGGTAGCGGTCGTAAGCGCAGCCAATGTAGAAGCAATTGTGTCTGCAAGATCTGGCAAAAAAATGGTTGTTTGTAAAGTAGGTTTACGATCGAGATGTTTAGGTGATAACGTCTTATTGGTGATATAAGTTTAGGAGATATAAGTAAGGAATTAATGAAGATAACAATTTTTTCAAATTTTAGACCAGGTAGGTTGTTCTTGCACTGTGCACTCTGCACTGCTGCTTGATTCGATGAAGTACTGGGTTGTGCAGCACTCCTAACTCGTTCGGCTTGACGCTGTCGAGATGCACGTTTTCGCTGAGCGCTGGTTTGTACAATTGTAGTTGTCTCCACCGTGCCGCTGGCGAGAGCTAAATTTGCAGCTCTACGTAGATGGTACGCTTTGCGTTGTCTTTCAGCGGCTTTTCTTGCAAACCCCGCGGCCTGTTCTGGGGTTCTAATAGCTGCTACACGTTTTTTGTACTCACGATTTCGCAGGGCATTCTTTTCGGCAGTGGTGGGTATTGCAGACGTTGACGGCAAAGCATCGTCGGTCTCCATCGGTGTACTGGATGTTGAAGGAATGTGCGCACAGGGATCTATCATGTTGAGCGTGGTGATACTAGGATACTTTTTGAAGTGAAAACTCCTTTAGAGAGCACTAAACGACACTAAAAGGAAACAAACATATTCGCTTATATGGTTTAGCCTACGGGAGAAAAAGAGCACACAAATATAATGTTTTCTATTATCTCCGTCTGCCCTTTGTGCGATTCGTAGCGTCCCCCTAAGCATAGACGTGTGTATGTGTGTACGTGTGGGTTGATGTTGACCGGTTGATGTTTTTGTTTGGAGAAGGTTACTAGGATACACTGAGAACGAAATTTCAAAGAGGTCACAGAGAGGGTACTCCCGGAGATGCGTTGTTTGCAAGAAGTGCAAAAATCAAACCTAATATTAGGAACTCCAGGAAAATGACAGTTGTCATTATTACAGCAAAAGGGCATTGGATGACACGGTAATGAAGTGGATTTCTGATGGACGACCGAAGAAGAAGAGTATTCACTCAGAACAACACTATGTGTGTACCAATGTAGCCTTGAGTATACCGATGAAGATACTTCAGTTCATTGGCGATACAGGATGGTGGATTGACAATGGAGCGACAAAGCACGTGACTAGCTATTCGGATCAGTTCGTTGAGTTCCAAGAGTTTGAAGATGCATCATCAAGGCTGCTGGAAAGAAACCCTTAGGCCGTTGGCAGGGGCCATAGAAATTTTATCCTTTACTGAAGGGTGCCACCTTGAAAATTATCGCAGCTGATGTGTAGCGGTATGTTCCAGGGTTTCTAAAACGCTAATTTCCATTACTAATACCCAAGATAAAAATGAAAATAGCAGATTTCATTCAACAGTAACTAAGTGCTGGCTAGAAGTAAATAGCAAATGACCAAGCCTTTACAGAGAACACGAGAACAAGATTCTTTTGAACAAGATAGGACTTGTAAATTCAACTTAGATAAACAAGGGAAAGTGTTGAAGTTATGTTTAGATAAGTTAAATTCGATGTTTTCTAAGTTTTACCCTATAGTAGGCGCTGGCATGTTATCTTATGTTTGTTGTATTGTTTGTTTGTTGTTTTGTTTTTCCATGGCAACCGCGTCAACCCTACACATAGGTATATAAAATGCTGTGTCATTGTTCCTTTCACTTTTCCTGTTAGTGTTGCAATAAATCGTCGTTATTAAAACTTGAGCTTGTGTTTTTCCTTAACTAGAAAAACCCAATAGGTTTAGAAAAACCTCAATAATCCGCTGTTTAAAACAACTGGCTCTGGATAACAAACAAATTCACTCATACGGAGCGTGCATTTATGCGAAAACCATTAATAAGGCAGGTAAAGTCAACGTCAAAAACTGGGTAGCCAAAATTTGAAATAAGCAAATGATCACACGTCATTGATACATTGCATTGCTGGCAATAATCTCTATATCTATTATCACTAGTGATATATATCTACTATATAAAAATTTCCTTTCTGACGTTATAACTCCGGAACGCATGAACCGCGTTCACATCTTAATATATATAAATCTCGTATCACAATGTTTGTCCTCAATGGACTCCTAAACCACTTAACCGATTATAATAAAATTCGCACACCATGTGCAGTTCGATCCAACTTGAAAGATAGGATAGTTTAAATCTCAAATTATAGTCGCAATTTTAATTTATTGCTAATTATTTGTGATATCGTAAATACAAAGTTTTCTATTATCCCCGACACACGCATAGACGTGTGTATGTGTGTACGTGTGGGTTGAAGTTGATCGGTTGATGTTTTTGTTTGGAGAAGGTTACTAGGATACTTTTTGAAGTGAAAACTTTTTTAGAGAACACTAAACGACACTAAAAGGAAACAAACATATTCGCTTATATGGTTTAGCCTACGCGAGAAAAAGAGCACACAAATATAATGTTTTCTATTATCTCTGTCTCCTCTTTGTGCGTGGCTTCGTAGCTTCCCCCCTAAGCATAGACGTGTGTATGTGTGTACGTGTGAGTTGCAGTTGACCTGTTGATGTTTTTGTTTGGAGAAGATTAAATTATTATTTTCAATTAAATGCCACCGAAAAAATCAAACCTTAACAAAGCGAGCAGCAAAGGGTCACGACGCAAACGTGTTGAAAGAGCTCAGCAATTACCAGAACAAATCGAAACAAGAAATGCAGCTCAAAGAATCAGGACTGCAGGAAGTAGTGCACAGGAATCTCAAGGAGAGCGTGACAAACGTCTGCAACAGAATATTACGAGTACAAGAGCGGCACGAGAACGAAACATAGCTACAGTACGAGTACTAGATCGCACCAGATATTAACTACTCAGCGCATTCAAAAATTGCTATCGGTGGAATGGATAAAGCATGTCAATATTGTCAGGCATTGAAATTTCGGAATGAAGCAGCCGGCATGTGCTGCGCATCAGGAAAAGTTGTGCTGTCACCTCTACCCATACCTTTATTATCCCTTCTTACTGGCAATTCAGATGATTCCAAATTATTTTTGCGTAAGATACGCAAATTTAATTCTTGCTTCCAAATGACGTCATTTGGAGCAACTAAAATTTGCGATCGTGCATCCGATGGACGTAATTGTGAAACTACATTCAAAATTCAAGGCCAGGTGTACCATAAAATCGGATCACTGATGCCAATGCCTGATAACAATCCGAAATTTCTTCAAATTTATTTTATGGGCGATTGTGAAGAGCGCGTGACGACTCGGTGCCTGTATAATTTTATTGAACAAGCAGAGGAAAGAGCAATTGTGATATTATTGGAAAATTTTTTTAGTAGACCACAAACAACTAATTCAATTGTTCAAAAGAGTTTCGCCACGCTGCAAAATGACAATTATCAAATCGTCATAAAAGCCGACAAAGTACCATTAGGTGAACATGCTGGTAGATTCAACGCTCCAACTGTTGATGAGGTTGCTGTTATCATGGTTGGTGATCCAGTTGACAAAAGATCTATAAAAATTACACGGCGAGACAACAATGCCAGTACGATTTCGGATCTACACCGTTCATATGACGCACTACAATATCCATTGATATTTTGGCAAGGACAAGATGAATATCACCTTAATATCAAACAATATGATCCTAATACCGGTAAATTTGACAATTATCTATTTACTTTCTTACTGTATGTACGAGTATAGATTTTAATTTCGTATTGCATTTTATTTTTTATTTTGTTAGGTGATTACAGAAATAAAAAAGTTAGCTCAATGAACTACTACGCACACCGAATAATGGTTAGACAACATCAAAACAATTATATACTACGATCGGAAGAATATATTCACTTACGAGATGCTGTTGCTGGAAACATCGATGGAAATTTAAATCCCAATGACATCGGTAATGCTTTCATTTTACCTTCAAGCTACATCGGTAGTCCATGGGACATGCAGGAATACATACAAGATGCGATGACTTACGTACGTCATTGCGGCCGACCGGATTTATTTATTACATTCACATGTAATCCAAATTGGGAAGAGATACAAACTTTACTATTGCCAGGACAACAAGCCATTCATCGTCATGATTTAACTGCACGTGCGTTTAAACAAAAATTGAAATCCTTAATTGATTTTATTGTTAAATATTCAATTTTTGTTATCACACGTTGTTGGCTGTATACGATAGAGCGGCAAAAGCGAGGTTTGCCTCATGCCCACATTTTGGTTTGGCTTAAAGATAGAATCCGTCCTGAAGAAATCGATCAAATAATTTCAGCCGAAATTCCAGACCCATTAATTGATCAAGAATTATTTGATATTGCCACCAAACATATGATCCATGGGCCATGCGGTGCTTTCAACATGACGTCACCGTGCATGGAAAATGGAAAATGTAAAAAAAACTTCCCAAAGCCGCATACGAATGATACGATCACGGATATTGATGGTTATCCAATGTATCGCCGCAGAAGTACTGAGAATGGTGGCCATAGTTTGATAATCAGTGGGTGGTACCATACTCACCACTACTTTCAAAAACTTACAAAGCTCATATCAATGTTGAGCTTTGCAGTTCTGTTAAATCAATTAAGTATATTTGCAAATATGTAAACAAAGGCAGTGATTTGGCCATATTTGAAGCTTTCTCAGCTTTCCCATCCACGAAAGAGATCCTGCTGTTCAACATCTGACAATACATCTTGAAAACGGTCAACGTGTATACTCCACAGAAGAAAATGTTCTCCAAAGAGCGTTCGAAGCTCCGACTCCGACGACTCTAACTGAATTTTTTACATTGTGTCAAAAACCTGATGTTTTTGGCCAATTCCCGAAGACATTGGTGTATGGTGATTGTTGCGCAGAGTGAATTTTAATAAGAATAGAGTTTATTATTTAACGCCAATAACAATCCAGTGTTGCTTGATATTACATAGAACATAACTACCCTTGACAACGTAACGAACTTAACTAACTACTGACTAACACACAAGGTGGCTAGAAAGCCCCTAAGTCACTTGGGGTGAACCCTCCCGTGGCACAACGCCACTTGTGAAAGAGCGCAAAACTCAACACTCCCACTCGCACTTTCACTAATTAATCTACACCGAGATCACGCACATTTTTCACAAATTTGTCCTTAACCAAAGGTTTCGTTAAACAGTCCGCCAGTTGCCCGGAACTGGCCACTTGGTAAATCACTATTTCATCATTTTTTACGATTTCCCGCGTGTAGTGGTATTTTACATCTATGTGTTTTGTCCTCCGATGATAAACTGGATTGTTGATCAACTTATTGGCTGCTGCGTTGTCGACATGCAAAGGAGTTGCACTGTCTTGTCCGCAGCCAATGTCGCCTAACAATCTTCTCATCCACACGATGTCCTTCGCTGCATCATGCGCCGCAATGTACTCCGCATCAATTGTTGATGTGGCCACGCATCCTTGCTTCCGCGATGACCAAACCACTGGTCCGCCATTGAGTAGAAGAACAACACCGCTGATACTTTTTCTACTCTCTGTGCAAGTTGCAAAATCAGCGTCGGAGTATGCCGTGAGCTTCATGGATGCATCACGCCCGTACACAATGCCAACGTTGGTACTCTCAACTAGGTAACGTAAAATACGTTTTCCTGCTTTCCAATGATCGCTGGTGGGATTCTCCAGAAATTTGGATAACTGCGCTACTGCAAACGCAAGATCAGGTCGAGTAGCTACCGCCAAATACATTAATGAGCCATCCAACTGTCTATATGGCACTTCAACTGGCTCACCTCCGGCTTCCAAAACAACACCTGCCTCGGCCGGTGTCGCGACAGAATTAGAATCTTTCATCCCAAATTTATCTAAAATCGACTTCGCATATGCTGATTGCGATAATCTAATCGTTTTAGCCAAACGATCTCGCTCGATTTCAATGCCTAGGTAACATGATACTTCGGCTCTGGTGATTTCGAACCGCTCTCGTAATGCTAGCAGCATTTGCTCGATATCAACTTTTGTCTTCCCAATAACCAGGCCATCATCTACATATAGTGCCACTATAAGTTCATGATTCTTCGACGTGTACACGCAAGGATCCGGTGTAGTGGCACCTAGTCCAAACTGAATCATGAACTCATCAAATTTAGAGTTCCATTGTCGTGGTGCCTGCTTTAATCCATAAAGACTGCGGTTAAGCCGACAAACCTGACCGCTGCCATCGTCGAACCCATCCGGTTGTTTCATATAAATAGGCCTGTCAATATCACCATACAGAAACGCAGTTTTCACGTCTAACTGATAGACTTCAAAGTCCTTTGCTGCTGCAACCGCTAACAACGTCCTCACCGACTCAAATCTTGCCACTGGTGAGAATGTTTCAGCAAAATCAATGCCTGGTTTCTGCGAGCAACCTTTAACTACTAATCGCGCCTTGTACCGATCCACACTGCCGTCTGGTTTCATTTTTATTCGATATACCCACTTGTTCCGAATTATATTCACCCCATCAGGGCGATCCACGTTTGATTTTGTTGCAGAGACGTCAATTCGTCATTCATTGCCGCCTCCCACTCGTCTGCAACATCGGAACTTCTGGCTTCAGCGACAGTCAGAGGAGTAATTGTATTACTCAATAAAGCTTCGGCACACATTGATATGGTTGCCTTTGAACGCGTTCTGTCCGCAATTCTTGACTCTACCTTGACACAATCGGTATCAGGTAGCACAGCGTTTTCTTCCCGAGCCAAATCAATTACGGCTGAAGATTTCGGTACCACTTCGTTTATTACCACATTGCGGCTTGTTATTACCCGCATTGTTCCGCGTTTCCACAAACGATAGCCCTCCGAAGAATACCCGACGAGCACCATCGGATCAGATTTCAAATCTAGCTTCGATTTCTTTGGATCGTTTGACAAAACATATGCCGTACTGCCATATATTCGAAGATGACCAACCTTTGGCTTACTGCCATAAAACGCCTCGTGAGGCGTTCGACCTCTCAACCGTTTTAACGGGATGGTACTTCGAAGAAGTGCCGCTGTTGTACATGCTTCCGCCCATAGACTTTGAGGAAGCCCGGCGCCGTTTATCATGGCGCGACTCATCTCAACAATGGTTCGATTCTGTCTTTCGACTCGACCCATTTGTTGTGGTGTATAAGGTGCGCTGTACTCAATTTTAATTCCGTGGTGTCGCATAATCTTTTGCATCTCACCACCCTTAAATTCACAGGCATTAGCCGCCAGATTTCGACACCACTTCGATATCGCCCCGACTCCTCGCATAAATTATTTCATCGTTTCCAACTTTGACGGGAAGATGCCCATCCGCCAGTTCGTTAAACGTAATAAACAACGCACGTTGAAACGTCATGTGGTGCGTGGCCCCGCTGTCGCCAATCCATGTGTTTTCTCTCTCCGAAGAGTTGCACACTGCGTTTACAGCATCTTCATGCGCCAACATTAACGCTGCACCCCGTGACGATTCAACTCCCGACACTTGATTTGACTGCGCCAAATCATTTCGTCGAATTGAACACTTATCTGCATAGTGGCCGACTTTCTTGCACTTAAAACATCGCACAGTGCGTTTCTTTCCCTTTTTGCCTCTCTGCCCATCTTCCCTCAAATTCAATTTTGAGAACAGAGCATCACCTACATCGTGATCTTGGCCTACTGCATAGCCACAAGAGAAGCAACTGTTCCCGCAGCTTATCGAAATTTAAAACTTGGCCTGATGCCGTTAAGAGATAGTATTGTTCACGGAAAGAACTAAATCTCGACGGAAGATCATTAATAAGTTTTGAAACTAGCAGCGAGTCCGCTACTATTTCCCCGGCCGTTTTCAAGTTTTGAACGATAATTGACAATTGTGCACAATAACTGGAAATTGACTGATCTTCGCTAAACTTCAATGCATGTAATGCCTGACCCAACAAATATTTGTTTGTTTCAGTTTTAGCTTCGTATAAAGATTTAATTGTGTCCCAAATTTCCTGTGAGAACTCACATTTGCGTATGCTGGCGTGATCGTCATCACTGAGGCCTCCAGTAAAATCCGTTTCGCCCTAGCGTCACCCTTCCGCCATTCCTTTGCTTCCTTGGCATGTGTCGTCGAATTTGGACATGGCTCAGCTCCCGACACTATATCGAAGACACCAACACTCTCCAAGCACGATGTGACTTCGTATTTCCATCGCTGGTAGTTTGACTTTGTCAAAACCGGAACGCGAATGTCTTCTGACGCCATTATATACCAAACCGAAATTAATACACACGCAAAGCAAAAGAATAATTCAAGAAGTCTGAGTAACCGTTTTTATGTCCACAACACACACTTTCTTTAAAAACACACACACAGCCAGTTGTATTTAAACTGGGCCCATAACCTGTTGCGCAGAGTGAATTTTAATAAGAATAGAGTTTATTATTTAACGCCAATAACAATCCAGTGTTGCTTGATATTACATAGAACAGAACTACCTTTGACAACGTAACGAACTTAACTAACTACTGACTAACACACACGGTGGCTAGAAAGCCCCTAAGTCACTTGGGGTGAACCCCCCGTGGCGCAACGCCACTTGTGAAAGAGCGCAAAACTCAACAGTGATGTTCCACGTTATTTCACATGGAACAATTCCAGTAAAAAATGGGAGCCACGGAAACAAGGAAAACCACATCCTTCCATTACAGGCATATTTAAAGCTAAGACATTGGGGAGACTTTACACGGTACATCCAAAGCAACGTGAGAGCTTCTATTTACGTTTGTTATTGGTGAATGTTCCCGAACCAACGTCTTTTGAATTTTTACAAACAGTTAATGGTCGAGAATTCAATACATACCAGGATGCATGTCGTGAACTGCAATTGCTAGATGACAATAACAATTGCAATTATTTTGACGACATTTTATCCCTCGCAAGCACAAACTTTGTGGGAAAAATATAAAAATTGTATGACAGAAGACATTTTGCACCGAATTAGACAAACAAATCAATGCCAAAACATAGATTATACACCAGAGATGTACAATGAAGCATTGATCTTGATCGAGGATTTATGTGTTCTTATTTCAAATTTACCACTTAATCATTATTGTATCCCATCACCTAATCGTCCAGCCACCGACTTAGTCAATACCGATTTACAACGAGAAAAGCAATATGACCATGGAAGTTTAGCAACAATTATCATGAACAGTGAACCATTACTGACAGCAGAACAAAAAATTATTTATGATCGGATTATGCTGGCTGTTGCTGCCGAACAAGGCGGTTTTTTTTTTCTTTGATGCACCCGGTGAAACCGGTAAGACATTTTTAATATCGTTGATTCTCGCCAAAATATGGTCGCAACAAAAAATCGCATTAGCAGTAGCATCGTCAGGCATTGCGGCTACTTTACTGGATGAAAAGAATAGTGGAATAGCTGCAGTGTTGCGGAAGAGTTCTATAATAATTTGGGATGAGTGCACAATGGCACACAAATATTCACTTGAAACATTAAACAGAACTATGCAAGGATTTAAACAGCAATAATAAACTTTTCGGTGCTGGCTGGATTCTAAAAATATTATAAACGTAAAACTTAAAACTTATAGGAAATATGAAGTAACTATAAATACCTCGGTTCCTTCTGGTTCCATGGGTCACTTGTTTACTATCGTTTTTAGCTGAATATTCCTTCCCATCCAAGACAACTTCT